AGCAATTCGATTACTCTGTGATCGTGAGGTAAAGTTCTCGAAGGTGTTAATTAAGTAAGCACATATTTATTCTTCATGCAAAAACGTACGTGATACAATGCAACAATTTTCCAAGTTGAGGTGCATGCAATACAACTCTGAGCACAGTAGTTAATAAAAAATATGAAAGGTGCACAGATTTACATACTCAGTCAGGCATCCATAAACACACTAAAATGCATATACTTTCAACGTCAAACCTTTGTGGGAGTGCCTAAATTGCCTAATGGTTCTTGAAAACACAAGATTTCCTAAAATTGTGTGGACATGATGGTTTAAAAGAAAATGAACAGGCTGACAAACTAGAGAAAAAAGGGGCAACCATCACCCTTGGGACCAGAATCGCAACTAATAACAACGGAACGTGTGGTTAAATTGGAACTGGAAAAATGGCTTGAGAAAGAAAAACTAAAATACTGGACAAAAGCATCGTGCTCTTTCCATTTTATCTGGGGAAACGAGTTTTTTCATTCAAAATCACTAATTTTTACTCTATTTTATATTTTTAAAAAGGAGTATTGCCTGGGCGCGTTGTTAGACGTAGCACAGGCTTTCGTCAGGGTCTGGCATCCAGGCATACTTTTTAAACTTAAACGCTTCCTACCCTCTCATTATTGCCTTTTATTAAAATCCTAACTAACTGATCGCTGTTTCAGAATGAGGTGCGGCGATGAATTCTTGGAAGTTAAACAGATACAGGCTGGTGTACTGCAAGGTAGTATCCTTGGTCCTATCCTTTATATTGTTTATACTGCAGACATACCAATGCATCCTGACATTATTATCACCACCTATGCGGACGACACCGCAATCCTATCCTCTAACTCGAATCCTGCCCAAGCTACCTCCAACATACAGGAACACCTTGAGCTTGTCGAAGACTGGTGTAAAAAATGGAAGACCGAACGAAGAAAAATGCACTCAGTGTACTTTTTCGCTGAAAAAGCAGTCTTGTCCTCCATTGTACGTCAACTACAAAGAGATACCACTTTCCACTCATGTCAAATACCTCGGACTATATTTCGACAGCAGACTGACGTGGAATCCCCACACAAGACTTAAAAACCAGCAACCTAATACAAGACTTGGACGACTACGAAGACTTCTAAGACCGAAGTCGACTTTGACAATTAAGACAAAGCTAACACTGCACAAGACTTTACCAAGACCAATATGGACATATGGAGCGGAGCTGTTGTTACTGCCAAGCCTTCCAATATCCAGCGCGTTCGAAAGTCCTTAGACATATTGTTAAAGCACCTTATTATGTCACTAACCGCACTATCCACAAATACCTCAACATTCCTTTTGCCAACGAACTAATCCGGTCCAGATTCCAAACCTTCCGAACCATCCTAACCATACTTCTCGAGCTCTCTCCACTCATTCCCATCCTGACAACTCACCACGTCGCCTCAACCGACGGTGGCTTCAGGACCTCCTTGACGCCTAATCATACACACTGAGTGCCAAAAATGGCTGGCTCCTCAAAGCATGTGCTCTACCAGTGCAGTGCTGTCTTTAGTACTAGTGTTGTGCTGTAGGATATATTAATCATGTGTACATATTTGTGTAGTATACTATCATGTATAGGTAACAAATAAATTTAAAAAAAAAATTCTATTTTTGTCTGAGTTGTTTTTCCAGTTTAGGATAATATTTGAACTTTTTGTCATCATATCAGTTCGAAAAATTGACGGAATTCAGCTTCTAACCCCCTCCCCCGAATAAACCCGATCTTGCTCCTTCAGGCTACCACTTCTTCCTAGCAATGGCTTCCTTGAAGTAAAAAATCCTTGTTTCATACATTAAGTAAAAAATCAAATGAAATCATAGACATTTGAAATCAGTGTCTCTAACGTTTAACCCGATTTTCATTTTTGTACAGCTTTTTAAATCGGATTAGGGTATTTGAACGTTCTTTTACCAAGAGGAATTCCAAGACACTGGGTAGCCATTCGATTTTGAACAAATGTTTTATAATTTTTTTTCTCAATTTCTTTTTATTAATAATTTAAAACAGTATCGCAATTGCACATTTCACTCCGTATTTTATTCAAGGGAATAAATTGTTCTAAATGCAAACTTAAAACTTTGAAATTACAAATCACAGACGGAAATTGCAACTTTCAGGGTCGTTAAGTTTATTGGGCTTAGACCAAGGGTAGGAAATATTCCGTTTTTATTTTCCACCCAAGACTAATTGAAAGAACAATAATCCTCCAAATTTTCTTATTGTATAAACTAGACAATTATTTTCTATAGCTATCAATTTTGTCTATTAAGGTAGAAAGCATAATGGGACCCAGTCGTTGAAAATATGTGTAAATGCATCGAATTATGATTTATTTATATGTCAATATATGATATGTATAAGTTCTATTTTAAATGTTGTATTATGTAAAAATAGACCACATTTATTATACAATTACATATAATTATGATGCCACGATTAGATTAACTAATGGTATGTTCCAGAAGGGTTTAATGAGAAACTTGATCTCAATTTGGGTAAAGTATGATTTTGATTAATCATATATTTATCTTATTAATTATAATTGATCAACTGTTTAAAACTTTGTTGTTTAAGAATATAAAACTTATTAAATTAACTCATAGTAAATAATTATTGACAGATTGATAGCAGTAGGGTAGCAGAGTTAAAAATGTGGTGATTTCTTATGCCTCTGATGTTGTAGAAACGCCGATGTTATTGGGAATCTGGAATTTTTTTCCTGGACACATCAGTTTGTGAAATTGTGATTCCGGTCTAAATTCGAATGAATGGGGCTCTCCCATTCAATCTCGCTGTACGCGATTATTGCTAAATCAAGTCCAAGTTCTATAAAAACCCCGATTTGTCCTTGACAGTCCAGCGACTGTGGGTCGGGATCGTATCTAAGTAGGTCTCCGATAAAGTCCATGCAATGGCCGTGATTGCGTGTCGTTGCGGGGGGACTTCGTTGCGCCTTGGACCGACGTATCGGGGAAAAAGCCTACTGTCCAGTCACTTCTTAGCTCGCCCGTTCTACTATTTAAAATCCTTTTTCTCTGCTCATAAAATGGATTTATTTATAGAGGAAGGGCCTGTTTAGCATTCCGCTGAATTTCATTAACACGGAAATAACCTGACAAAAAACTGCTGGTCGATTACTTAATAAGAAAAAAAAATACAGCAACTTTTAGCTGCTCTTAGATTATACCTAGTCGTAACATGCAAAATCCAATCAACATAAATATGTAACTATTACATGTATCCGTGTAATAAATAGGTATACAATAACGAAAATTGTTATCGATCTATCCTCACAGTTTTAGTTTGTCAGAAACTTCTACAGTTCAAATTAAAAAATTGTGCCGTTTCTTCAAACCTGCGGATTGATGGACAATTTCGTCGTTTTCCATTATTTTTGGTCTACTTATCCTCACAGTTTTAGTTTGTCAGAAACGACCAAACTACAAATTAGGACTATTTGTGTCGTTTCTTCGAGGTCTGCGGTATGATGGACAGTTTGGTCGTTTCCAATTATTTTTGGTCTGCCTATCCTCACAGTTTCAGTTTACCAGAAACGACCAAACTGCAAACTTAAGATAAATTCTGTCGTTTCTTCAAAGCCAGCGGATTTTCATCTTTTCACATCACTTTTGTTCTGCCGATCCTCACAGTTTTAGTTTGTCAGAAACTACCATACTACAAATTAAGATAACTTATGTGGTTTCTTCGAGGTCTGCGGTTTGATGGACAGTTTGGTTGTTTCCTATAATTTTTGGTCTGCTTATCCTCACAGTTTTAGTTTGCCAGTAATGACCAAACTGGAAATTAAGATAAATTGAGTCGTTTTTTCAAATCCTGCGGATTGATGGACGGTTTGGTCGTTTCCCATCATTTTTGGCCTACCTATCCCCATAATTTTAGTTTGTCAGAAACGACCAAACTACAAACTAAATTAAATTGTCTCGTTTCATGAAAGTCTGCGGATTGGTGGACAGTTTAGTCGTTTCCCTTCATTTTTGTTTCGTTTCCAATCGTTTATGATCTGATTATCCTCACAGTTTTTGTTTTTCAGAAAGGACCAAATTGCAAACTAAAATAAATCGTGTTGTTTCTGCCAAATTTGTTGAATAAGTTAGTTTGTTCGTTTCCTTCCCAATGTAAGTAAATGTGGCCCAATTTAATGACTGATGGACACCGCAAATCTGCCCAGTTTTCAAACATCGCCTGGGTTGAACTACTGTATGATTTTGTCGAAAGTTATTTTTAAATTTCATGAAAATGAAGCAAAAATTTATGTGTAAATCAATTTCTCTGGAATTACTTACACCTAATAATAATATATAATGAAGCATGACACCAGTTCTATCCCTGTTAGATTTTTCTAACATTGCGAAAAATTCTTATTTTCTCAGAAAAAAAACCTGCAACCCACGCGAGGAGCTCGTGAAGACCTTTAGGACAAAATAATGGCACCTCGCCAGTCAAACACGACAAATTATTACCACCGCTATCGACAGACTGACATTTCCATGACGTTCTTATTTAAATGCTATTATTAATTATTAATTTTTATTTTTAACCTTTCTTAATGAGGGCTGATAGATACGAAATATTGCCCTTTTGGACCAGTCTGTATTGGTTAAAATATAAATTTTATTGTTCTGATCCATTTATTAACGTTAACGATCACCCTTTGCTTATTTGTAAAATATAATAATTAGTTTAAAAAAACTGTCCTCAAGATTTGTTATATTTTTCTTTCTGTTATACGGCAATAATGATTAGTTTGATTACAGATCAAATCAAAACTGATTAATAATAACAATAATGGTAGTCGTTTTATCAAAATCAGTAAATATGTTTACAGTGTTCGACAACTAGATTATTATGATAAGAATATCTTTTTGACTTAGTTTGTGTTATTTATTTTAACACTTTTAAAAGTATAGTAGAAAGTGTAACTTACATTATTTCTGGCAGTGACATCGCAGCCCAATTCTATGAGGCGATCAAGGTAAGTCGTCCGATTCTCTTTGACGGCGTACATCAAGGGTGTCATGCCCGTCGTCTGCAACAAAAACAAATTAAATTACTCAGATTGTATGATTCGTTCGTTTTAAAAGGCAAAATTATTAGATTAGTGGTAAAAGCTATTTATTTTGACGATCAAACCTCAGCCTTGTACAGTATTGAGGAATTGGCCAATTGGGATTTGGTTGATCTTTATCCGTTTACAGGTTTTCTTCAAAACCGACGAAAATACACAAGCTTTGACATTTTTTGTACAAAATCTAGAGAGAGAAATTATTGGTCTAGAAAAACACAAAACTTTTCCCTCTCAGATAATAAAAATTAAATTTCATTCTATCTATGAAATTGCCTAGATGAAAATGCTATAAATGCTCAATATGTCAACATTTTGCTAAAAAATGAAGGCAAAAATCCTCTGGAAGTTTAATGCTCTGGAAAGAACTTTCTAAAACCCATAAAAATCCAAAAGATATAACTTCCTACAGATCTATCTTCGATTAGTCTACTTCCTATGTCCAAAATCCTCCTACGTATTCTTGGTCCTTCCATGCTTGACGCTTAATCCACGTACCGAGAAGAAGCTCAAGGCTTTAGTGATGTATTTATGCTGGTGCATACTCCGCATACCGTGGATCCAAAGGGTTAAAGAAAGAGTGCTTCGCAGAATGGGCAAACCAAAGGAATTTGTTCATACATAGGTCAAGTGATGCATGGAGTGTGCTATGAATTGCTCAGGTTAATAATGTAAAGCAAAAAGGGAAAGACGGGAAAACGTTCAGTTTGGAGGAAGGAGAACTCTTGGCTGAAGGACTTGGTGATTTGAATGCTAATCTGTGGTTTCAGGGCTGAGCCCATCATGGAACTAATGAAATAATTCACACACAGACCACTGAAAATGGCTAAATGCTGAAACTGATCTGACAGACAAAACCGATCCGAGAAGACAAGACGTGTATATCGTTTTGCCAAGCTCGTTATAATGTTTCTTTATGTATTTTTTGAAGTCGTGAGGAGTAGACAAGAATGAGGTAGTTTAGAAAAAGACCTTTTTCATTTCTTGCCTACGTTTCTACCTTTATTCGGGTCATCTTCAGGGGAAAAAGTGTGGTGCTCTTCTTGTGGTGTCACATTAGTGTGCTATACCATAAGAATAGCACCACACTTTTATCCTGAAGATGACCTGAATAACAGTCGAAATGCCGGCAAAAAAAATGAAAAAGTACTTTTTCTAAACTACCTCATTCTTGACCGCTCCTCAGGAATCCAACAAAAAATTGCTATATAAAACAGTGTTGTAAAGAGCACTCACATCAACACTTTCACTCAAAACCAATATGACATCACAAGAATAACAACACACTTTATTCTTTGAAGATGACCCGAATAAAGGTCGAAACGTCGGCAAAAACAATGAAAAAAAAACTTTTTCTGAACTACCTTACTCTTGACCGCTCCTCTCAAATCCAACAAAAAATTGCTATATAAAAAAAGTGTTGTAAAGAGCACTCACACGAACACTTTCAAAAAATCAATATAACACCACAAGAATAGCAACACACTTTTTACACTAAAAATGACCCGAAAAGGTCGAAAAAATGGCAAAAAAAGAAAAAAAAGTGTTTTTCAAACTACCTCATACTTCACCGCTCCTCACGACTTCAACAAATAATGAAACAACAGGTCACTAAGAAACACACAGATGTTTCATTATGATTTGATCAATTTTGTAAAATGTAAAAGGTGCCGATTTTAAGGATTTCGGCAAATAACGTGACGATATTTTTTCTGAAACTTGTGAGCAAGGCGTTTTTCTTGTATGATATTTGATTTTCCTTAATGGTTTTATACAAAACAATTATGCACATTGGGTTTTATCTCACAAATTCAACAGGATATAAGATACCATGGTGAGAAAAAATACACTGCAGGAGAAACGATATTAAGTTCAAACTTGAAATTAACGCAAAGCTTAAATTTTGGAAGAATTAATGTTATGTTAGCACGATCCAGTTCGTCGAAAAGTGCCATCTGTAATTAAAAGTAAGAAAACAACTTTAATAGAAGGGAGAGTAATTTGATAATTTTTAGCAATCAACGAAAACAAAGTGTTCGAAATACCTTTCTTTTTTAGGTTGAATATTCATAATTTAGTCTTAGAGTTAAGATTTTTTTTAGACATACTTTTTCCGTAAAACAGCAAAGCTTAGTCGACTTTTGTCTATATGGCTCACTGCATGAATAACGATATATGTCAAGGTTAAGAAACGCTCTTTTTACGTGTGGGAAAGAAATGAGTCTGGACACGTTCATTTACAAATGTCAAAATGTATGATATCCATAATCGATATCAAGCCGTTAAATGTTCAAAAAGGTCTCCGTTTAATTGATTTAAGCCGGTTTCAAAGGGTAACAAGTAAAAGTGGTTGTGCGTGCAAGTTGCATGTGTCGAGGGGGTAAGAGGCCTCTCTGACACAGTTCTGAAAGCAGCCGGCCGCCGTCCGCCGCATTTGCATACCCATTATTCTCCGTCCTACTTCCAACCCCGAACCATAACCTATTGTATACGGTGTAAACAACGTGGCTTATGAAATATACACGGGCGTTGGTCAGGCGAAAATCTTACAGGACAAACCGGAAAACTGATTTTTTTCAGCATGTAAAGAGAACAATTATAGGACAAATTCACATGGTTTATCAAGACCATTCAAATTTTGTCCTTTATTGATTTTAAAGTATTTTTGTGATTATTGTAAATTAAAGAATTTTTTTGTCCCACTACAGTAAATCTGCAGTTAACTCATTTACGTTTTAGTGGTCAATTGACCAAGTAATCTTTCAATTAATTATTCTTTCCATGTAAGGTCTTGGTTGAAATAAAAAAGTCAGTGTCACGAGCGGGATTCGAACCCACGACCTTCGGCTAAATACGCCGCTACGCTACCACTTGAGTTATCGTGACTTCGATCCTCTCGGACATCAACTCTCCATCTCAACCTTCAACCGTTCGAACCTTACGTAAAAATGGCAAAAAGAGGGAAAGTTGTAGCTCTAGCTCAAGTAGTAGAGTAGCAGTGTATTTAGCGGAAGGTCGTGGGTTCGAATTGTTATAGGTATAATTAAAGGGGAAGAGAATAAGGTTGATAAGACTGTTTTTCAGGTAAAGGAAAATAACGGTGATGACCGTTAAAAGACGGTTAGAACTTAGGACAGTGAGTGTAACACCTGCTTGGAATAAAGATAAGAAAATACACAAGTGTAGTTAACTTAATAAGTTCCAATAACCCATACCATTTATCACGAATCCCGCTCGTGACACTACGTTTTTATTTCAACCAAGACCTTACATCTGCAGTTAACGTTGTTCTGATTTATATAACTGTTGGAATACCAAGGAAGATCTGGAACACATTATAATGCACTGCTGCACTTACCATGACCAAAGGGATTAGACAGTGGGTTGGTTCTCGAGAATCGAGCAATTACTGTTAATTGTAACCAGGCCTGGTAATAAAAAATAACTTCTACTGCAACAACTCACCACCAAGTCTACTAAATTAAAATCAAGTTTTGAGATTTCCTTTTTTTCTTCGCTCAGCTTACAGTTCAGATCTTGTACCTTCTGATTACCACTTATTACGCTCCATGGCGCCTTCCTCAGTCTTAGGGACACATTTGAAGAAGGGGAAAATAGTTATCCTAATGGGAATGAAAATTGGGTATGAAGGTGACTTCAAGTCAACATGTCGAAGAATAAGTCAAACTAAAAATATCTTTTAACAAATAAAATATTTTTAAAAAACCACAGACTTTTTGTAATCACCCTACTAAAATTTTATCGTTGTCAGCAAAACGTTATGGCCCCCTATTGCTCATCATGGGGACTATTCACCATCGTAAAAGGATTAAATCTTGAGCTTGCAAAAATTAGTCGTTTTTGTGTTAGACGGAAGTTCAAGATATATACATCTAAGACCGAAGTAATTCCCTTTACTAGGCATAGACCGTTGCTTACACGTAGGGTCTCTGGGGAGATTTTTAGTAAATTGGTTGGACAATGTTGTTTATCTGGCACTAGACAGGAATTTTTGTAAGCATATCCAAGGGACGATGTGCCATTAAGGCATTATTTCCGCTTTTATCTAAAGAATCGCTTCTCAGCATTGGGGAACTCTAATTTTTATTTTTAATGATTATTCGGAGATCGTGAGATGCGGTCTGGTGTGACGTAGGTTTTAGAAAAATATTTTCTTTATCGTGCCAACGTTTCGATCTTTATTGAGATCAGGGCTCAAAGTGTTTGTTATCTGCGTAATGGTCTCATCCTTGTGTGTCGTATGGGCACTAAGGGAGTTTTTCCTAAACTTCAAATAAAGTCTCAAATGCTGCTTAAAAAACTTTTCTGCGCGTCGTTCGTAATTGAATGGATTTAAAATTGGCTAGTCCGAAAGAGCTTTAGATGTACCTTGGGCCTATGAAATTTTCTGTCGCATGAATGACTGTCACTCAAAACAACAACCTTAACTACTCTCTAAATGTAGTGTATATGTAAGTTTCTTAATAAGATTCAGGAAAAGTTTCTTTTTTTTACTTTACACAGTGTCAAACATCAATTTAACCACTGTCAGATCAATCAAGATCAAAGTTTTGCCGATTTGAGGAAGTCCAGGAGAAATCGTTCCATTTTGAGTAAAAGGGGTAAGAAAAGTTTTTCGATAGCAGAGGTTAACGGCCTTTGGCGGACCTGCTATCTATGCAGGCCACGACGACTTATACATAAGGGAAATTAGCATCTTACTGCCCCAACCTTCTAGGGCAAAATCTAATATCCCGAAGAAACGGCTAATTTTATCTTTCGCTTTTACATTTATATATACAAAAAATACAATTAGAAATTCTGTGCAAACGACAATTACGTATTTTATTTATTAATTAATGTAACACTATAATTTAAAATATGTTTACAATTCGTTTTTTTTGTGACCAATAGAACGTTTGTGATAAGCCTTATTTTTTTTAAAAATAATTACATAGTTTCAAACCAGAATGTTTCGTACAGTTTAGGTTCTTTCTGAAAAACTACAATCAAATTTAGGTTTAGAAACCAATGAAACACATTTTTATACACATGAAGCTTTGATGGTCTAGGAAATATTGTAAAACAGGTTCTGGAATGCAACTAGGATGCGTATTAGCTCCCACCCTGTTCCTTTTATCTTTAAGTACTACAAACTGAAATATCACTGTACGCATATGTCACAATCCTCATAGCTAATCTTATTATCCTACAAAGAAAGTTGAAACTTTTAGCACGGTATCGAAAAAAATTAACCACTCCAAAACTTTTTTTTTGCATAGGAGGTAAATTAGGTGTTTCTGACAAATGATTTTATAAGAGACAAAAAGTTGAGGTTGTGGATCAACACAAGTATCTGGGACTTCTGCTAACCTTCCATTTAAGATAACAGATACCTCGTTCTAACTGCGGACTTAGCAAGGTGAAGGCTAAACAATACTAAATAAAAATACTTTCTAAAACACTAAAATAAAAGTTTACACAATCGTAGCCAAGTTATTTACGAAGCTCAGGTATGGGGTTTTGGTACTTGGATAGTACTGCTTTGGAATAATTTCAAAGGTATTTCCTCGAAAAAAGTTAATTCTGCCATCTATCACTCCTAACTATATTTTAGTACTTATTAAACTTCTTATTCCACTACACCAACTATACTGCCTCAAAATATGAACCACCAAAAATCACTGCCCAGAAGTTATTAAAAAAAGACCTTGCTGATTTAATCAGAGTACTTCTTTGACACAAGAGTATCATTCTGGGTTTTCAGATTCTTTGAACAATTCTTTTGGGAATCTCAGTTGTCTGGCCGGCCTTTCAAAATGAAATCATCAAAGGTCCAAAAAGCTCGATTGGTTCCCTGGTCATATTTTGTATAAAGGAAACAATAACGATAAAAATATCTTTTATAAAATATATTCGTGTTTCTGGCTAGGAGAAACTGCTGTTTTTAAAGTACAAACCAAGGCTCAAAAGAGATTCAACTTTTGAAAGATACAAGTTAATGTTAGCGAACATATACCTCATTTTCTGGGTAATATCATTTGCTTGCTAACATGAGGTTTAACAGCTTTGAAGTTGGAACTCTTTTAAGTAATAATAAACATCAACTTTTATATATCCAAAACCAAAGATGAATTTTTGAGGATGGATATTTTTCACAATTTGGAAAGTCTTTCCCAATCAAAAAAAAAATTGTACCAAAAAATCAAAAATTCATCCATGAGTTCTGGAGATGTTGACGTTTTATTTCCCAACTCGATAATTTGAATTTATTGTGTAACTGGTTAAGAATGATAGAAAATTGATTAATTGGATAAATATGAACATTTAATTTGTGTTTGTTTATATCTCTCAAACGAATCGATTAATTTTTGCGGATGGATTTTTTTACACATTGTGAAGGTCCTTTACATTCTAAAAATTAGTACCAGAAACTCAAACATTCATTGATTAGTTCTGGAGATATTGAAATTTTCCTTCAAAATTACATAATTTCAATTTATCGTGTAACTGGTTGAGAAGTGGAGAGAATTCAATAAATTTGAAAATTTGATTTGTGTTTGTGTAACCTAACTTTTAAAAACCAAAACAAAAAACAATCAATTACACGAAAAACTGGAATTATCGAGTTCTGAAGAAAATTTTAATATCTCTTAAACAAATCGATAAATTTTTGAAGATGAAAATTTTTGAAACATTTTGAAGGTCCTTTCCATTCTAAAAAAATGGTTCCAGAAACTCAAACAATCATTGATTAGTTCTGTAGATATATTGACATTTTCCTTCAAAATTCGATAATTTCAATTTAACGTTTAACTGGTTAAGAATTGGAGAAAATTGAAAATTTAAATGAATAAATATGCAACTTGAATTTGTGTTTGTTTAGCCTCACTCAAATCAGTAACACGATAAACTGAAATTATCGAGTTCAGAAGAGAAACTTCAATATCTCTCAAACGAATCGATAAATTTTTGAGGATGGATGTTTTTGACACATTTTTTCCATACTAAAAAATTATGCCAGAGACTCATACATTCATTGATTAGTTCGGGAGTTATTGACAGTTCCCTTCAAAATTCTAAAGTTTCAATTTATCGTGAAACTGGTTAAGAAATTGGGAAAATTGAAAATTTAATTCAATAACTATGAAAATTTAATTTGTGTTTGTTTAAAGTAACTTTAAAAAACCAGGTACACGATAAACTGAGATGATCTAGTTCTGAAGAGAAATGTCAATAGACACAATTAAAATTTAATTGAAGGAATATGAAGATTTAATTTGTGTTTTTTAACCTTCTTTTAGCATATAACTTTTTTTTTAAAAGGATGTATTTTATTAAATAAACGTACGTTATAATAATATTAAAAAAATAATATTTACAAATTACAAACACGAAATGAAAGTGACAGATGATTACTTTTCTGATTTTTCTCCTTACCGCGAACTAATAGTTCATAAAAATTTTATTGAAAATTAGCGCGAAGTAGAAAGAGAATCGATCTTATAGTAAGCACGTGGAATATAGTTTAGCAGACTACAATTTTATAGTTCTGTTCTTGACTGACTTTTTAAAAAAAAATTTAAAATCTGAAATAGAAGGATTCGACGAGTGCGGTTATTTTTCCTCTTTTCTCTTCTCGTTACAGTTCGAGATCAGGTAATTGAGAGACGGGTTTTAAATAGATAGGCGCCAGGTGTTATGATTTAGCCATAATTTACAACACGAACCGGCCATCCACTAGAGCGAATTTACACGCTTTTAAAATGAATTTTATCGCTTTAAGTATTTTAATAAAAACTAGTAACTCCCTTGCTCAATAAAAGTTGTAGAAAAGTATTCTCAACTTTGGCATTAGTTTGTTACACGTAAGTTTTCAGCCAACTGTGTAATTGACCGTGTTCATTTCCTCGTTTTGTCTTCTTTAAGAATATTTTTACGCCTCTTTGACAAAAAAAAGATCTAGTATCACTACAAAATGTCGGAAATTTCTCATAGTTTTTTTCTTGTCAGTGATAATCACAATTTTTGTATAATTTATTTGAAAGGTTGACTGTTTAAATTTATAATCTTCACCCAACCATTTTTTAAACTAAATATCCCATAAAGCATTAATAAATATTTTGGCTCAAATGTAATTGATTATTTCCTGAAATATTAATAAAATAAAACAAACTTTACAAATTTTTACGAGGTACGATCGAATTTACTTATAAGAAAGTATCGAGCTAGTATACAGATGGCCCCAAAAAAATGATGGAATCGGAGCAGGCATTTTATGTACCAAATCAAAGTACGAGCAATCAAACTCATTAGGAAAGTACATAAAAAAACTCCACAATTTTAGAAAATCTTAAAAGAGGTCATACTAAAAAATATCATAAGATCATGAGACAAGACTGGCAAACTCACTGCTACAGTTCGAGAGGGCTAAACTCAGAGTATTGATTAGGATTAAATACCAGTAACTGACATCTGAGAAAACATATACTTAACATGGGTACCTCCTTGTGTAGGTTATGCAATTAGAAAGAAGAAATCCCTCATATCATCTTCGAATGCGAATCAACGGCTCAATTGAGGCCATCTTAGCAACAGCAGAACATGCCTTCTTGTGCCCTAGAAAATCTTAAAAGAGGTTACACTGGCAAAAAAACCTCATAATGTCTGATAGCCAAGCAGCTATTAAAGCATTAGCGTGTAAAAAAACCTCATCAAAATTAGTCAGTGAATGCATCCAAAATCTTCAAAACCTGGGGAAACAACAATCTGATGATATCTTCGGTGTCAGGGCACAGAGGAGTTTTGGGGAACAAAAAAGCAGAGACTGGGCCACACCATTTACAGGCCCTGAACTTATACTTGGAATAACAAAAGCAAATAAAGAATCCTCTATCACCGAATGGATCAAAAAACAAAAGGAGAAGTGGATAAACTCTAGTGGCTCTAGACACAGTAAACCTATACTAAAACCCTCTTTATATATTTTTAAGTAATTTTCACGGTGAATAAACGTGTAAACATTATGTAGAAAGGAAAAAGAAAAGTGGACAGCTTTGTGTCAGCACTCAATGCTTGGCAACAGGTGAGCTTACGAGAAACAACATTGTCGTCATCAATAGAATTTCAACAAAGGCAATTGATAGCTCTGATATATCATCTTTGATCGGAATGTCAGTGGTTATTAATTTAATATTAGGTAAAATCTGCAAAGCGGGGTTTAATAGTAAAATTTAATTAAAATTCAACAATTTTTTTCCTCGATGCATTTTCTAAATGTGTTTTCAACAAGATAATACTTTGAATCTTGTAGATTTTCATTTTATTAATTTTAAAAAAAATTAAATGGCAAAAGCTGGCCAGCTGGTTTACCCATAATCATAAAGGTTATGATTAATTTTCTCCGTATCGTAAAAATTTTGCCATTATACAAATATTTTATTTATATTTTCGCTGCTTACCGGATCCGCGATGCCGGCAAGCGGGACGCTGTTGACTTCTTCCCCACCGGCGGCAACCAATTTCTCCAGGCTTTTGAGCACCTGGTCGAAAGGCGGCCATTCTCCCTTCTGGCAGAGCTGGAGAATCCTTTGGGCTCCATCTCGAACTCCAGCACTCCCAGGCTTGCTGGTCTCGCCTGAACAACATAAAAAATTATTACAAACTTGTTTTGGGTGGCTAGAAAAACAAACTATCTCCGATTTAACATGTAATTGTTAAAATTTGTATTTTTGTCCATCTATAATTAAAAACTACTGTCGGATTCAAAATGCATAGTATTATGTTAATTAAGGTGGTACATACTTCTTGAGAAAAAGGCAAGTTCTTAGCTTTTCCTTCGACCGGTCGATATACCAAAAAAAGTAATTTTCGAAATTCTAAATCAAAATGCACGTACTTTGTTAACAATATAATAGAAGGATAGCTTCCTTCCCATGCATACCACGCACGTAAGATAAGGTAAATTGAATGTTTTTTTATCATGGTGCCCAGAAGTAGTGAAATTTAAAAAAATGATTCTACGTTCTATTTGTGATATCGAGATGCCACGTACATTCAAAAACAAGCAAGCAAACAAAACAATAAAATTATTTTGAAAGTTCAATAAGCATCATGAGTCAACAAAACAAACCAATTCTGTCATAACAAAGAGTATTTGTTGAGAAAGAGAGAGAGAGAGAGAGAGAGAGAGAGAGAGAGAGAGAGAGAGAGAGAGNCTCTCTTTATTTACTTTACCAAACACTTTCAAAAATCTTTTTTTTCTCTCCCTTATCACTCTCTCTCTCTCTCTCTCTCTCTCTCTCTCTCTCTCTCTCTCCCTTCCTCCCACTCTCTCTCTCTCTATCTAACTATCTATCTATCTATCTATCTACCTACCTATCTATCTATCTATCTTTTTATTTACCTATCTATCATCATTATCTTTCTTTCTCCTTCTTTATTTATATACTTTACCTAAAACTACAAATAAGCTTTCTTTTTCTCCCTCTCTTAATCTATCTATCTTTCACTCTCTTTCCTTCTCTCACTCTCTCTTTCTCCTTCTTTCTTTATTTACTTTACCAAACACTTTAAATAATCTTTATTTTCTCTCCCCTTATCACATTCTCTCTCTCTCTCTCTCTCTCTCTATCTATCTATCTATCTATCTATCTCATTTCACTATGTTCTGATTTAAGCTAGATCCCCTCAATAGTTATATAATCAATTTCTGACTAGAGGTCAGCTTGACTTGAAATCAACCGGGGGTTTTGATGCAGATTTATATATGCCTTCATACAGGATTGCCTCAAAATCTTATATTTCAAATAGTTTTCACGTACTACTAGTTCAGAAAATGTTAACTATAGGTAATTATATGGTTTTAGTGTTTTTAAAGCAATCTAAAGAATACAGTTTATACTTTTCTCTCATTATTACATAGTATAAATTGTCTCTTTACTTACAGAGTTAATGTTAATTTATTTAAAATAATTGATTCGTCTAAATATAAAAAAAGTTATAAAGACTTTCATATCGACAGTTGACAAGCAACTCGACAAAAATGTAAGCGTAAATACAAATTATAATTTAAAGAACTAGCATTCAATTAACTAGCTTGGTTGCGTTGATAAATTTGTAAATAATTTTCTTATTTTATCTTAAAAATCGTTTAAAAAAATCGTGATTTTTCTTGTCATTCTTGTATTGTTAGGTGAAATATTAATTAGGAACTCCATCAAACCGACGTTTTATGTTATATGTGCACCACTTGTTTCATGTACCGTTGATTCGCTATAAATGATTTTTTTTAATTCATTCGTGTAAATGCAACTAAATGTACTGAAGTTATTGACCAAAGGTGTCATATTTTGGGGAAATTGTAAATTTTTTAAATTTATTTATTTGTAGTTACCTGGGAATAGCGCGGCAGCCAAATGGCAATACATTGGCTGAAACGAGCCCGCCGGTTTCTCCAACTTCCGTACGACTGTTTGGCCTATTTGACTTCTCTACAAGCTGAATATTTAGGAGGGGGATTATATATTTTTATACAGATTAAATCTCTTCTCTTCATCCTAAATTCCTATGAAGTTCGTGTATGTTATATGCTACCTGACCGATTTATAAAAACAATTGGCTAACATTTAACCACCTTCAAGAACAAAAACAACAAAGAAGACGAGAGAATGACAATAAAATTTTATTAGGCCCGTTCAAGAAAAAACTCTCCACTAAAGAGAATTTGTTTATAAAAATAGCTAAGGCCTGAAAAAAAATTTACCGTATCACATTAATAATCAACCATTTTTACCAAATTCCGACATTCTTCCTGGCAGGAGTAATTTTGGCTTGAAGCCATTTTGAGTATGATTTAATGTGATGCAAAAAGCAGAACCATGGCTAACAAATTTATTTATTTTGGGCATTAACCTCTTCTGATAACAACAGTTATTTATAAACGTCACCGGCTAAAATATAATATTGTTCGTGGTTTTTTAACATTAATGAATTTGCGCTGGTTTACCTGAACAGCTAGGACTGACTTCATTATTTATACAAATTGAGGTTAGATGATCTTTGATTACATCTGACGTACTTCGAGATAAAAGTATCGTAAAGTCTGTCCAACAAGATTTAGTAAAGAGACGGGCACGAGTTCATAGATTCCAATTAGGGCAAAAACTAAGTATGCAAAACAGAATTTAAAGATAGTAGTTTGAAGAAGACTAGCTTCTTTTTTCCAATTTGAAAAATCTATAATATAAACAAACGTACTAAAATTTATTATTTAATTATTATTATTAGTTTAACATGCCTCAGGGTAAATGAGAGTTTGTAATTAATTTTCTTCAACAGGATTAAAAACATACCTACAAAACTTACGTATAAATTTCGTATAAGCAATTAGGTAATAGTTACACGTACATGTATATAATTAATTACCCACACAGCAAAAATCGCTTATAAGCATACTCATAAGGATAATCAGTTGTTGGTGAATGCATCATTATCTACATACACACAAAAGAAACAACGATAAGAGAGAGAGAGAGAGAGAGAGAGAGAGAGAGAGAGAGAGAGAGAGAATGACTAGGAAATTAACCTATCTATACGTATGTGTATATCTTTCTTCATAAATATGTCTTTTATACTTACCTATTTTTCCTTCTTTATTTATTTACTTTATCGACCATTATAATTATTCGTTTTTCTTATTTTATCTCTTCCTCTCTTTCTCTTTCTACAAAGATCTATCTATCTATCAACCAGTTTATTTACCTATCTATCCATCTCCCAACTCCCACTCTCTCTTTTTCCTTCTTTATACATTTACTTTACCTACCACTATTTTTTCTATTTTCTCTCTCTCTCTAATTCTCACTCTCTCTCCCACTCTCTCTCTTACACACACACACACACACACACACACACACACACACACACACACACACACACACACACACACACACACACACACATACACACACAAATTATCTATTTATTAATAAATCCATCTATTCATCTACTTCCCCTCTCACTCTATTTTTCTTCTTCTTATTTATTTGCTTTACCTAACACTATTCTTTCTAATTTTGAACTTTGTTCCCTATCACTCATTCTTTCACTCTCTCCCTCTTTTCTCTCTCCCTCACACTATCTCCGCTTTCCAATCTCACTCTCTCTCTCTCTCCCTCTCTCTCTCTCCCCCTCTTTCCCTCACCTCTCTCTCTCCCTCCTCCTTTCTACTCTCTCTCACTCTCCTTACTCTCTCTCTCTCTCTCTCTCTCTCTCTCTCTCTCCCCCTCTTTCCCTCACATCTCTCTCTCCCTCCTCCTTTCTACACTCTCTCACTCTCCTTACTCTCTCTCTCTTTCTAATTATCTGCCTACCAATCTATCTTTCCATCTATCTAACAATCTATCATCGCTCCCTTTGTCGCTCTTTCTCTTTCTCCTTCGTTATTTATTTACTTTACCTACTTCTTTTAGTCTTCTTTTCTTTGGCTCTCTCTCTCTCCCTTTTTTCTCTCTCTCTCACATTATCTCCCCCTTTCCAATCTCTCTCTCTTTCTCTCTCACACACACACACATAAACACACACACACACAATTTCCTCCTTTCCGCTCGCTCTCTCTCTTTCTTTCTTTCTCTCTCTCTCTCTGTCTGTCTGTCTGTCTGTCTCTCTCTCTCTCTCTCTCTCTCTCTCTCTCTCTCTCTCTCTCTCCTTATCTACTATTTATCTAAATATTGATCTATGTATCTTTCTATCTTTCTCCCCCTCTTTCTTTATTTAATTATTTACTTTACCTGCCACTATTCTTTATATTTTATCTCTCTCTTTCATTTATTTTTCTCTCTTTTGGCTCTTCTTTTTTCCCCTCTCCTTCTCTCCGAACTGGAACGGCCGAGGTACAAAAGGTTCGTTTTTAGTAGCTAATGATTGTTTGGAGGTAACTATTAAGATTGATTAATTCATTTAAATAATAATACACACACACATATATAAGGAATTTAATTTACAACACTTCGTAAAGAATTCTCGAAAAGAAGTAAAATTATTTAGAAATGGTCTACTTAGGTTCCAGGGTCTGTCAACAGCTAGGTCATTTCAGCGCTCAACGCTTGCACTTCTAAATCACATTCACTCTCTCATTCATTCTTAAATAATTCTTTATTATTGTAATTCTTTTCTATTTACCTATCATCTATTCAAGTCAGATTATGTAGTACTCCATTTTCCTCCATCACGTATTCCCATATGAATAATTTAATTGAGAGTACTCAATATTCGATAATCCCACACACATTCGAGCCAATAAATACATGCAATATCACTAAACACAGAAGGAAACACCAAACCAGTTCTGAACTTAATATTATATTCAATAAAATATTCGTATGTTCAAAAATGAAATCAGAAGACCTAAAAAGTTTCATAGTGGTTGGCATTCCTACATCCCGAAATTATAGAGCCAAGGAATGACATCCTAAAATACTATTATGAAAGTAAGCATTAAGATAATATTTGCATTAAACTTCAAGTAAAAAAGTGAATCAAAAATGTAAAGAAAATATTTAAAAAATTTAAGGATGCACTTAGTATCGTTGTCAACCTCTCATTCGTAATCGACAAGGTGAACTACCTTCGAAGAAA